AGCAACAACTGGAAAGAGAAGTTGTAATACTTTCTTCCGGTCCTCAGTGAACTGCCATGGGCACTCCCCTTGATTGTCACTGCTCTAGTTCAGTTCAGCAGGACTTCACAGAGCTGTAACCAAGCATCTTTCTTACTGGATGAGCCTCTATTTATTTCCATGGCAGCAGAAAAGTTTGCTTCTTTTTGTGGGAGCCTGTTATGTGTCTCTATTAATAAACAGCTAAATATATTCTGTGGAAAGATGGGACTGGAGATGTTTTCAGCTCAACCCCTTTTTCTGAATTACTGGCAGAAGTACTTATATGATAGCTTTTATTCATCTATGCAAGAGGATCAAGATGCCCTGAAGAGAACTTGCCTGATGGGATCAGAAAGTCCTCAAAGCAGAGCTTTTTGGCACCAAAGTTACTAACTCCAAGCAAAAATAGGTTGCTTCTCTGTTGTTTAGAAAAGAGAGAGCATGGCATTTCTTCTGATGGCCTTCAAAGCTGGAAGTATTCAGCTTCACTCCCTTTTCCAAACAAACGGGTGGAAGTGACATTTTTTTCCAGGAATCTTCCCAGTGACCTGTTTGATTTTGTTTCAAAATATATTGACTTAAAACACAAAGTTTAACCTATCATAAGATGGGTTCATATCATAAGATATGAACAAGCTAGGGAGAAAAATAACTTCTACATATTTTTTAACAGGTACTGAAGTTTCTTCATGACAAGGGATTCCCTTATGGGCATCTTCATGCCTCCAACGTGATGCTAGATGGGGACACTTGCCGGCTGCTAGACCTTGAGAATTCCTTATTGGGCCTTCCTTCTTTCTACCGATCTTATTTTTCACAGTTCAGAAAAATCAATGTAAGTTGCTAAATGAAGCAGCAGGTTCATTTTTAGGTATAAGTTATCGCCACGGCAGGACCCGTGATCTGCCCGTGTAGGAAATATGCACTAAGCAGTGAAAGGTGCAGTTAGGGTGGGTTTTGCCCATTGCCCCTCTGTCCCATAGAATGTTGCTGTTGAAATGATGGGTGGGGCCAAGAGGGGAGTAGAATCACTGATGAAAAAACCACTGAGGGTAAGACCAAGCCCTTTGGACAGCGCAGTACCCTGTAAACTTTTACAAAAGGCTTTGGGAGTTGTGTTTTCACCACCAGTGAAGAGTGGGGCTGCCCCAGGCCTTGTTTCTCAGAGGAGGCCTGGGCCAGGAGCACTGGGGTCCACAAAGCCAAACAAGAATGAACAGGCCACTGTTCTCTTTCTTCCACAGACCCTGGAAAGTGTGGATGTCCATTGCTTTGGCCACTTGTTGTATGAAATGACTTACGGACGACCGCCAGACTCAGTGCCTGTAGACTCCTTCCCTCCTGCACCGTCCATGGCTGTGGGTCAGTATGGGTTTGGGAAAGGTCTTCTGGGCTCTGCTGTTCTGCAGAGCTACCTACCCCCTTTCCAGAGTCCAGGAAAGACCCAAAGGAAGTTGCTATCCTCCACAGCCAGAAATTCCTGTCCAATTTAAAAGTAGATCAAATTTGAATAATTAACTTAAATACACTTCAGTGGAAATTCAGAGGGCTTGTCCATTTGTCAAACTATCTGAAATTTCCGGGAACTTTTGTAAGGTGCATTAGAATTTTGGAAGCAGGAGAATGTAAAGAGAAGTATGGCTAGACGTGAAACAAGACTGCAGGAAACAAGACCAGGCAAACTGAAGCCCGTCTTGAGGACTCCGGCCGGTGTCAGACCAAGGCTCGAATGAGACCTGCAAGGAACAAGAGCGTCATAGGCTGGAAGCCTAGTAGATAAGAGCCTATCAGGCTCAGACCTAGGGCAGGCAGACAGGAATGCCAGGCACCCAGACAAATTGGATCCAGGAGCTCTCCCAGAATTGCCTAAGGGCTAGGGGGAGCTGGAGGACAGGTGAGAGGTACCTTTAGGTAGGAGGGATGTAGAAACTGGTACAAACTCACCCAGGGATCCTTTCAACCCCTCCACAGCCAGCTCAGAACTCATGGCAGAGCAGAGAGAGTAGTTGCTCTTGTGCCCCTGTGCCGTGGAGGTGTGCTGGTCAGCCCTCCACTAAGTGTCACTGTGTTAAATGAGGTAGTTCAAGGGAACAAACCCTGGGACTATTGTGTGTTGAATTTGAACAGCTGAAACTGAACAGTGACCTATGGATAGAAAACTCTTGGTTATGGCTTCCAAGGTGTGGGATGGTGAGATATCAACAACTGGCATTTTGCATGCCTTTTTTGATTAAAAGCAGGCAAGCAGCAAAATGTCTTTCAAGTTCAGATTTTTACTTCTGTGTAGTGTTTACTTCTCTTTTAAGAGGACAAACACTTTTATGAATGATATCTTGAATCCTTCCTCCAATTATCTTTGAAATATATTTGGCTTTCTGTCAGCATGTGGTTTCTAAATCATTTCTCTTGAGTCATCGGTAGCACCAGTGTTGCCAACATTCCCCCTCCCCATGTATTCCATCTGTCTGTGTGTGAAGAGTTTTGACACTGTCCTGATCAGCCTGCAGACAGTTATTGCAGAGCAGTGTCAAACTTTTCATCAGCAAGTGGATTTGCCAGCATGTTTTGTGGAACTAAAATGTGTATCTGTTCATTTCAAGTGGCCGTGTTGGAATCTACGCTGTCTTGTGAAGCCTGTAAAAATGGCATGCCTACCGTCTCCCGGCTCTTACAGATGCCGTAAGTTAATCATATGCGTTGATTGTAATCTTGATAACTGTTGAACACTGGACCACTGTGCCCAAGCACCATACTAAAGACTCAGTTGTGGTCCCTTCAGCATCGAAGTGCCCTGCTTGCTAATGGGTGCTTGCAGCATGATCTCCTGATGCTTTCCTTGTGACCTCACTGTTCTCCTAGTCTGATTGCACACCTTTAACATCAGTGTCATTTTCATTTTCATGTGTGTCTCCTTCATCCATATTAGCATTTTGTGTGTGTGTGTGTGTGTGTGTGTGTGTGTGTGTGTGTGTGTGTGTGTGGCAGCCCTCAGCTTAGGAAATACCGAAGGGGAGCCCTCAGCTTTGGATAGTTCACAAATCACAGAGCCTTGGAGGATCTGCCCTCCAGGAGGAAGGTGAGGCTTTCTGGGCTCCCATGCTTTTGTCTGTAAATTTACTCCCTGGATTTATTAAACATCTAGCATATAGCAGGCACTGTGCTAGTGGCTTGGAACTCAGAAGACATTTTCTCTTAAAACAGCATTGTGAATAGTTCATGGTTATGAATAGTTCTTCGAGGCAGTTGATAAAATGCTTTGGGGCCTTTCCTTTAGGAGCAAATTTCCTAACTTCCAAAAGTGAAGTTTCCTGAACTATAAAATGGGGGTGATAATAATAGTCCCCACCTCAGAAGATGGTTAGAGTTGATGAGATGTTTCCTACTACAGTGTTAGGCATTTAATAAGTGCTTATTATGTGTTCTTCATGCTTAATAGTGATTCTGTTTATATTTTTTCAGCATCACATACCATGTAGTGTACCTGGTGCTTTGTCTGTATCAGCTTGTTGTGTAACAGTTATATTCTGGAAGCAATAATATAGGGAAACAAGCCAGGGGACAGCTTGAAGTGCCTGCAGCCAGAGGTCAGGGAAGTTGGAGAAAACTGAGGTTCCTTGTTCTCTCTTTCCGCAAGTGTTTAGAGAGGGCCTGCTAGAAGCTAGGTACATTCTAGGCCCTGGGAAGGCAATTATTAGCAGAGGAAACCAAGCCCCTGGCCTGTGGGTGTGACAGTGTACTGTTTGATGGACATTGGTGTGCCCCTCCAAACCAACAACAGGTAATAATGCGAATATGAAAAATAGATCCAATTTGGAAAACAAGATAGTTTTCACAGACTTTTAGAGCAAAATGCACTTGTAGTTAGGGAAAAGCCTGTGTGCAGGTTGATTTACTTGGGTTTCCATTTGCATTCCCTCTCACATTTTTCTCTTGTAGTCCTAAAATGAATACAGATATTTTTCCTTCACCTAAGTCTTTCTACCCTATGGGCTTTCAGCCTTGAGAACAGCACTTGGAGAGGTATGAACTACATTCAATTAAAATGTGTGTGTCAGGAAGTAAATGAGTGTGTGGCCAAGGGACAGACATGACTCTAGAGAGCACTGTAGGGAAAAGTTAACCTTGTCATTTCTATTTGTGATTAATCTCCTGCCTTTACAAAAGAGGGGTATTCAGTCAGGTTCAATGACACGTGCCTGTATTTCCAGCTACTTGGGAAGCTGCGGTGGCAGGATCCCTTGAGCCCAGGGCTTCAAAGCCAGCCAGGCAACATACTGAGATCCCGTCTCTTAAAAAAAACAAAAAAAATGATGAGAAGAATATTCAAAGAAGGACTCACTTGTAGCCATTTGGGTGCTATCCAAGCAACTGTTTATATTATCTGACCTATTTTAGCCAAAGTAGTTGAGAATTAATTATGTTACTGTTTTTTTGGTTTGTTTTGTTTTAGAGACAGGGTCTTGCTATACTGCCCATGCTAGTTTCCAACTTCTGACTCAAGGGATCCTTCTACCTCAGGCCCCTAAGTAGCTATTGTTCTCAATAACAATAACTTCAGCCGGGCTTGGTGGCTCAGCCTGTAATCCCGCACTTTGGGAGGCTGAGGTGAGTGAATTGCCTGAACCCGTGGGTTCGAGACCCACCCAGGAACTTGGCGAGACCTCCTCTTTACAATAAATCAAAAAAACTAGCCGGGTGTGGTATTACATGCCTGCAGTTCCAGCTTCTTGGAAGACTGAGGCGGAAGGATCGCTGGAGCCCAGCAGGTCAAGGCTGCAGTGACCAGGAATTTGCCACTGCACTCCAGTCTGGGTGACTGAGTGAGGCTCCAACTCAAAAAAAAACAAAAAAACCAAAAAAACAAAAACAATAACTTCAAAACTAACAATAACTTCAATAACTTCAAAAGCTGCAATTTTTAAAAATGAAGCATGACAAATATTTAGAATAAAATGATTTTCCTGTCAGATTCCAATCAGGATAGTTCTTTTCGATTTACTTGAACATTTTTGCTTTACTGAACTCCAGAACAAATTTTATTCTTGGCCGAGAGTGGTGGCTCATGCCTGTAATCCCAGCACTTTGGGAAACGAGGGCAGGCAGGTCACTTGAGCCCAGGCGTTTGAGACCATCAACAACATGGTAAGACCTTGTCTCTACAAAAATTTTTTAAAAAATCAGCCAAGCATGGTAGTGCATGCTTGGAGTCCTAATTATTTAGGAGGTTGAAGAAGAAGGATTGTCTGAGCCTAGGAGTTTGAGGCTTTGGTGAACTGTGATTGTGCCACTGCACTCTAGCCTGGGTAACAGACTGATACCCTAACTCAAAATAAATACACAGGCCAGGCTCAGTGGTTCAGCCTGTAATCGCAGCACTTTGGGAGACTGAAGCAAGTGGATTGCCTGAGCCCACGGGTTTGAGACCAACCGGGCAACTTGGTGAGACCTCGTCTCTACAATAAATAAATAAATAGCTGGGCATGGTAACGTGCACCTGTAGTTCCAGCTACTTGGAAGGCTGAGGCGGAAGGATCGCTGGAGCCTAGCAGGTCAAAACTGGGGTGGCCGTGAGTGTGCCACTGCACTCCAGCCTGGGCGACAGAGTGAGACTCCAACTCAAAATAAATACATAAATACATAAATAAAATATTTAATTTTCTTCTGAGGCAAGGAAAAAAAGAAAGCCAATTATTCTTTTTAGAAATATCACTATATGTTATTTGCAATAATCATTAAAAAATACTACACATTGCCCCACAGTGAGGAATCCATCTCTGGTATACAGCTGACCTACACTCCTGGTAATGCAGTGGGGAGTGGTCACGCTGGATGACATGAAAACACCTTTACATTTATTGATGAGCATAGAATGATGGATTGGGCTGCCAGGGCTGGGGACTGTGGTCAGGATAGGGAGACCTCATGGGCTAAAAGTGTCTTAGTCTGCTTTGATCTTATTCTGGTTGAAGAAAATTTTTATGTATGCTTTTTTTCTTTACAGATTATTCAGTGATGTTTTACTAACCACTTCTGAAAAACCACAGTTTAAGGTAAAGCAAATTATATCCTCCTTTGATATATGATATAACTAAGTTAATTTTTGAAAGTCAACTTTTTTTAGCCAGAAAAAAAAAAAAAAGATACATGGTGAGGAAAATTGAGAAGTACTCTAAATGACCTACAATTAGGGACTAATTTAATAATTTATAGAACATCTATTTGATAAAATATTTTTATCTAATAAAAGTGAGATTTATAAAGACATTGCAGTAACGTGGAATTGATTGTGATTTGTGTAAGGTTAAAAAAACTTGTAAAACAACACATCTGTGTCTAGAAACAAGACAGGAAGGAAGACTCCTGTGAAGCAGTGGTAGAGTGTGTCATGGAAAAAGAATGGGCTTTGGTACCCCCAAAACCAGACTGATGTCTCACTTTGCTCTTTTAGTAGTAGGCATGATCTACAGCAGGGTTTCTCAACCACAGCATTTGACATTTTGGTCCAGATAATTATTTGTTGTGTGGCTTGAATGGTTTAGGACATGAAGCAGCATCCCTGACCTCTACCCACTGGATGCCAGTAATACTCCCTACTCCTATCCCCTATTGTGACAACGAAATGTCTCCAGACTTTGCTAAATGTCCCCTGGGGGTTGGTGTATGAAACTACTCCCACTTGAGAGCCACTGACTTATGGGCAAGCACTTAATGTTTGCATCTATGCGTACTCATGTGTGAAATTGGTGAGTAATGCCTGTCTGTTGTCATTAGATGACAGACCATCTACGCAGACTCCTCGTTCAGAGCCCAACACTCATTGTGCTCACTGTTAGTGCAATTTGGGTGGGAAGATAGTTCTGTCTCTCCTTTCTATCATTCAAAGGAATATGATACTATTATGATGAAGATAAATTTAGAAATAAATTTTTAAAAAGAAATGGAATCAAGGTGGTGTTAGAAGATTGTATGGGTGAGAAAGGGGCTTTCCTCTATCCTGTTTTGCCAGTTACAGGAATTCTGACAATAATAACTTCTTTGAATCTGAAGTATGAAAGGAAAAAAAAATATTTGAATTCATCTCTTATTCACTGAAACTCCTTAGAAAATGTATTCAGCCTTGTCAAATATGCTCTCTCCTAGCCCTGACATTCCAGCCTCCGAGATTCAGGGATTAGTATTAGATATTAGACCTTGCTCTTCTGCTAAGCCAGAGAGCCTATGCAGCAACGACAATCCGATTTTAAAACCTAACTTTAATTTCTTGTATGTGCATTGACTTTCTGGAAAGATACACAGAAGATTGGTGATGTTGATTGTCTTCATGGAGGAGAACTGGGTGGGAGAGTTTTTATTGTGCATGTACCCTTTTATATTTCTGGGATTTCAAACCATGTGGTTGTATTATCTCCTCAAAATGATTTTAAATTTAAAATTTTTAAGGAATAATAAAGACAAAAAAGCTGGGCTCGGTGGCTCAGCCTGTAATCCCGCGCTTTGGGAGGCTGAGGTGAGTGGATTGCCTAAGCCCGCGGGTTCGAGACCCGCCTGGGCAACTTGGCGAGACCTCATCTCTACAATAAATCAAAAATATTAGCCGGGCATGGTAGCGTGCGCCTATAGTTCCGGCTACTTGGAAGGCTGAGGCGGAAGGATCGCCAGAGCCCGGCAGGTTGAGGCTGCAGTGACCGGGAATGGCCACTGTACTCCAGTCTGGGCAACAAAGTGAGACTCCAACTCAAAAAAAATAACATAAAGACAAAAAGTTCAACATGATCTGGGTGTCTGTTTTCCAGACCTGGAGTCCTCAAGGTTTGAGATGAAATTAAGAAATTTTATGCTCAGAAGCAAACTGGGCTGCTAGGAATGGTCTCTCAACAGGAAAAGTTTAATCTTGTGAATTTTTAATTGTGGTATATAAGCTTACCTTCTTAACCATTTTTAAGTATGCAGTTCAGTGGTGCTAACGATCTATGTATTGATGTGTAACAACTCTCTAGAACTTACAAACTGAAACTCTGTACCCATAGAACAATAACTCTGCATATCCCTCTCCCCGCAGTTCCTGGCAACCACCATTCTACTTTCTGTTTCCATGACTTTGTCTACTCTAGATATCTCATATAAGTGGAATTATGCAGTATTTGCAAGTCATTTATTTCACTCAGCATAATGTCCTCAGGATTCATTCATGTTGCAGCATGTGACAGGATTGACCTTTTTTTTTAGGCTGAATAATATTCTATTTTAAGTGTATATCACATTTCCTTTATCCATTCATTTGTTGATGGACATTTGGGCTGCTTTCACTTCTTGGCTATTGTGAATAATGCTGCAATGAACACAGGTGTGTACATATTTCTTTGAGGTTCTGCTTTCAGTTATTTTAGATCTGTACACCCAGAAGTGGAAATGCTGAATCATATGGTAATTCTATTTTTAGGTTTTTGAGATATTTCCATAGTGTTTTTCACAGTAGCTGTACCATGTTATATTTCAACCAGCAATATACAACAGTTTTCATTTCCTCATGTCCTTACCAGCACTCATTATTTTATTCTCTTTTTTTTTGAGTTGGAGTCTCATTCTGTAACCCAGACTGGAGTGCAGTGGCCATTCCCGGCCACCGCAGCCTCGACCTGCTGGGTTCCGGCGATCCTTCCGCCTCAGCCTTCCAAGTAGCTGGAACTACAGGCGCACGCTACCATGCCCGGCTAATTTTTTGATTTATTGTAGAGATGAGGTCTCGCCAAATTGCCCAGGCGGGTCTCGAACCTGCGGGCTCAAGGTAATCCACTCACCTCAGCCTCCCAAAGCACGGGATTACAGGCTGAGCCACTGAGCCTGGCTACTATTCTTTTTTTTTTTTTAATATTAGAAATATACTTTATTTAGAAAGTGAACGAGAGAGAATAGAGAGGCAATTCACCTCCCCAAGGTAGGGGAAGGGGCCAAAGCCGAGAAACATGGCAGCCATAGTTCAAAGAGCCACGTAGACACACCGGAGTTTAACAAAGCAATGGTCCCTTTTTTTTTGAGTTGGAGTCTCACTCTTTGCCCAGTCTAGAGTGCAGTGGTATGCTCATGGCCACCACAGCCTCAACCTGCTGGGCTCAGGCAATCCTTCCACCTCAGCCTTCCAAGTAAGTGGAACCACAGGCGTGTACCACCATGCCTGGCTAATTTTTTGATTTATTGTAGAGATGAGTTCTCACCAGGTTGCCCAGGCTGATCTCAAACCCGTGGGCTCAGGCAGTCCTCTCACCCTGACCTCTCAAAGTGCTGGGATTATAGGCTTGAGCCACCACACCTGGGCTCTATTTTATTCTTTTAATAGTGGCCATACTAATGGGCATAAGGTGGTGATAGCTCATTATGGTTTTGTCTGCCTTTCTCTAAAGGTCAGAGATATTGAGCATCTTTTCATGTGCTTGTTGACCATTTGTATATTTTCTTTGGGGAAATGTCTGTTTGAGTCTTTTGTCCATTTTTAATTTGGGTTGTTCCTTTATATACTCTGGATATTAACCTCTTATCAGATATAGGATTTGCAAATATTTTATCCCATTCCTCGAGTTGCCTTTTCACTCTGTTGATATTATACTTTATTGTACAAGAGTTTGACATTTTGATAAAGTTTAATTATTTTATTTTTTCTTCTATTGCCTGTGCTTTTGGTGTTATAGCCAATAAATCATTGCCAAGTTCAATGTCATGAAGGTTTTCCCCTGTGTTTTCTTTTAGGAGTTTTATAGTTTTAGGTCTTACATTTAGGTCTTGAATTTCTTTTGAGTTAATTTTTGTATATGATGTAAGGTAAGGGTCCATCTTCATTCTTTTGCATGTGGATATCTAATTTTCCCAGTACCATCTATTGAATATACTGTTCTTTCCCCATTTTGTTTTCTTGGCATCCTTGTCAAAGATCATTTGACCAAGCTGAGTGTGGTGGCTCACACTTATAATCCTAGCACTTTGGGAGGCAGAGGTGAAAGAATTGCCTGAGCCTGGTGGTTTGAGACCAACCTGGGCAACTTGGCAAGACCTCATTTCTACAATAAATCAAAAAATAACTGGGCATGGTGGCATGCACCTGTAGTTCCAGCTACTTGGAAGGCTGAGGCAGAAGGATCACCTGAGCCCGGGAGGTCAAGACTGTAGTAAACTATGATTGTGTCGTAGCATTCCAGGCTGGGTGACAGAGTGAGACTCCGACTCAAAAAAAAAAAAAGATCATTTGATCATATACACAAAGGTTTATGTCTGGGCTCTGTGTTCTGTTCCAAAGGTCTATGTGTCTGTCTTCATGTCAGAATCACACTGTTTTAATTATTGTAGCTGTGTAATAGATTTCAAAACCAGGAAATGTGAGGCCTCCAACTTTGGAGGCAATTCAGAATTCTGTAGAATTACTTGAATAACTTGAAACATATTATGTTTATTTATGTTTTAGTTTATGTGTTCGTTGCTGAAAAATGCTAGAAAGGTAGCGTGTTGGGAATACCAAAAGTGTCTAAGTAGGATTTGAGTGGACAGCTTTCACTGATTTTATTCCAGATGACCTTCTAACCAACTGCTCCTTCTTTGAATCCAGGACTCAGGAGACTCTCCACCCACGTTTTTCAATGGATTATATACTTTCTCTTCTTTCAGATCCCTACAAAGTTAAAAGAGGCATTGAGAATTGCCAAAGAATGTACAGAAAAGAGACTAATGGAAGAACAGAAACAGGTAAATTGAAAGTAGTTCTTCAGTGCCCTTTAATTTTGTAGTGTCTCTATCCTCTGCCGTGGTGTTTACAGTAGTTGACTTTTGATGGATTGTTCACTCCACAGACATTTTGTACATATGTCCCTCAACCAGGCTTCAGGCTAGATGCTATGACATAGAGCTAAGTATCATAGTTCTGCCCTCAAGGAGCTCAGTCTGTGGGAGAAACATGTCCACATAGGGCAGTCAGGCTTCATGATCAGGGCATGCCAGGTGGTGGTATTGGGGGGAGCATGCACAATCCATGCTTTCTCTAAAGATGCCAGCAACCACATTGTTCTTCTGTAAAAGAGAGAAAGGCAGGAAGGCAGTAGGGAGAGTGAGAAAGGTCTTCATTCTCTGCCATAGTTTTCTCCTAGACATCAGACCTGAGCCAGGAGGTAGACAGGCTGAGCAAGCAAAGATATTTTTATTCAAATAAAATTTGATTTGGGCTGAGCTTGGTGGCTCATGCCTGTAATCCCAGTACTTTTGGAGGCTGAAGCAGGAGGATTGCTGAGGCCAAGAGTTTGAGACCAGCCTGGGCAACATGGCAAGACCCCCATCTCTACAAAAAATAAAAAATTGGTGGGGCGTGGTGGTATTCATCTGTACTCTTAGCTACTTGAGAGTCTGAGGAAGGAGGATCACTTGAGCCCAGGAGTTCAAGGCTACCGTGAGCTATGATTGCACCACTGCACTCCAGCCTGAACAATAGAGGAGGACCATGTCTCTTAAAAAAAAAAAAGGAAAAAAATTTGATTTAGTAAAACATGTTGGAGAAGATTTTCGTTAGGTAACTAACTGCCTTATGTGGGGCGTGCTTATATTTGTGGTATATTATGGTCTCTTAAAGATCCACCAGCATCGAAGACTAACAAGAGCTCAGTCTCATCACGGATCTGAAGAAGAAAGAAAAAAAAGAAAGATTTTAGCTCGAAAAGTAAGTTTGGTGTCTCTCTGAATTTTCTCTGTGAATTCTTGACTACATGTGAGGAAATTTCTGGGTTAATGGTGCATATTTAATGGCAGATTTTGTGTTATAGCTCCCTGAAAGCTAAAAGTGTTTCCAGATGACTAGTTTGTAGCTTTTTAAAAAAGAGCCATATAATACTCACCAGAGAAATGAACCGTATAGTTTCCTGGCTTGCTGGGATGATATGGCATAATGTAATTGGAGGAAGTAACTGGCCTGAGATAGGAAAGTCAGCGTTCTTGGTTTTATTTCTCCCTTTAGTTTTGGCTTGTGGCTTCTTCACTGTCTTAAGTTATGAGGCCACATATGACCTTGTCTGTAGCTAGTTTAACTGTGTGCCTGGAAAATATTTTTATCTTGACTCCCAGCTTCAGTATGTTTATTCTTTGCTTTCCTCCCCCTTCTCCCTTTCTTTTATTTTTAAAGAAGTCGAAACGATCTGCTGTTGAAAATAGTGACGAACATCCAGCGAAGTACAGCAACTCCAATAATTCAGGTAATTTGTTATAGATTGTAGTGGGACCTAGGACCCAGAGGTCAAGGTCAGAAGTCTCTAGTCCGTAAGAGACTGGGCGGTGTAGTCATGAATGCGGAGAACAAAACAACTCTGTCCCTAATGAAGGACTGTGGCAGCATTCATAGGCTCACAGGGCTCGAGTTCCAGAAGGGACCTCAGAGGCTATGGGATAGCTCAATCTTTTCACTGATGGCAAGACTCGGTTAACCAAAGACACGGGAACATTAGCCATGGAAGAAAAACAGGCTTAACTTAAAATCAAGGCCTTCAGTCTTCTAGTAGAGCCTGCATGAACAGAAACAACCTGGAATCTTGCCTTCTGCTCTGGACCTTATGTAGTAGAAGGATGTGCCTTCCTGTGTGAATTACTGAAAGGATTCCGTGTGTATGTGGGTGGCAAGAAACTGAGGTGATACCAAGAGCACTGTCCTGAGTTGGTGGTCCTCATTGCCACTCCCACTGCCCCTCATCCAGCCCTGGGTCTTCATGTCCCATCTTTGGAGTCAGAGCCAGAATTAGTGCAACCTGGGGGCCTTCAGTTCTTCTAGTTTATGAATCTGTGAAGTAGTTCCACATAGAGAAGGGAAGGTTGCACCTTCACCCAGGCAACTTTGGAGGGTCATGGCAAGGGGAGTTTTGTTTGTTTTGTGTACTGATTATACTCCTAGGCAGAGGAAGGACCTAGCAGAGAGGGAGAATTTGAAGATGCAAAAGGGACAGTGATGGGGCTCTAGACAGCTAAGGGGTTAGCATCAAGAACCCACTTGTCAGTCTCAGCTTTGGAGGAAACCCATTCATCTCTTCCTGGAGGCAGGGGTGAGGAGGGCAGGTGAAGAGGCAGAGATATTTAAAAGTGGAAAGAAGGGGGAAATGAAGGGGGCTCACAGGTCATGCCTCAGGCTTCTTAATGAAGTCAGTGTCTGCCTGGGACAGGCGGAGAAACTGAGATGTGTATATGATGATAAGGCTACAACACTGAGTGCTGGACAGGTTCAACTGGAGAACACAGGTATGTGGCCAGAGCTGGAAGTTGGAAGGGCCGGAACGGAGAATGACTATAGACTCCAAAAGGAGGGTAGAGTCATGTGGACACTTTCGCAGGGTACAGGCTGGAGCAGGGCTCAGAGAGAGCTACGCAAGAGAAGAAGGAAGGGAGGTCCCAGGTCCTAGTGGTCCCAGTGAAGTCCAACACGGGCTCCTCAGAGATGGTGGGTAATTTCACAGTTGGAAGTCTATTTTTTCCATAGCTGATATGATGAACATGGACCAGTCATTGTCATCATTAGGCTGAGACTCATGTCTCTAGCCAGTAATCATTCTATCCAGCAGCTAATTTTTTCATAAAGCAGAGAAAGCCAGATTTTGTGCTCTCCACCTGCCCGAGACCTTGCTTGGCTGCAAAGCTCTGTGCCACATGCAGCCAGATGGACTCCAAGGACTCCAAGGCACCATTGTCCCCTCAGGAGTTTAGAAAAGTGAGGTAGCAGTTGTTGATGGAAATGTACAGATTACTTTCAAATCCCACTGGAATCACAAGGTCAAGCTTCTTCCCAGTAAAATCTGTCAGCACTACAAACAGTATGAAAACAGCATGCATTCAGGTTTATTTCCTTTTTCAGTCAAACACCTGTCATATTTTCTAGGCTGCTGAGAAACATTGCCGATAGTGGAAAGGCATTAGACTGGAGAGAGATGTGTTTTATTTAGGACTTCTCATTGTGTCCAGTGTCCATGAGACACCACCGTGTTCTGTGGGTAGTGAGTGACTTGAGGCTTAACCAAAACAGCTAGTGGTGGCTTCTCAGGACATGACAGCTCTCCCTTTGTGGGTATGTGCCCTCCAGCCCAGGAAGCACCAGATCAGGGAGCTTTGGTTAACCTTGCCTTAGGCTCTCCATGTGTCGGAGGGAACATTGCATCTCCACATAAGAGGTTTATGTAGGAACCTCCATCTGTTCATTGGGCTACTTCCACTTCAGGCCAAGTAGGATATACTAGGGATTTCCAAGTAATGGGGAAATGCTAAGAACTTGGGACTATTTGAAATATAATAAGGTTACTAGGTCCTGACAAAGTATGTAACGAATGGGATTTTGCACATTGTTTTCATGTGAATAAGGGTGTTTACTGATTGCAGGTAAGAGAAGTTCTGGGAAATTCATAAGCTGAATAGGCTGACTCTGTTTTGAGTGTGCCTGCTGATGAAAGTTTACTGAAAGCATTACTGGGCTTCAAACGCTGTCGATAGATCTCACTTCCCTTGGAGAGTCCCCTAGCAGTTCCCTGTACCACTTGTGGCCATTGTTGTTTGTCATTACCCAGGGATGGAGATTGGGTTAGGAAGAGCCACCTCAGCCAATTGCATAAGCCATTAATTGTGCAAAATTGGTTTCAAGCTAGGCAAGCTAGGAAAGGAGGCTTCCGTGGCCTGGTGAAGAAGCTGACCCTGCACTAGGGTAAAAGCCTGTCATCATTGGATCTGCCTCTGAATTTTCTGTCCCTCATCACCTTGTTCTACAAGGCCCACACACTAAGCCAAGTGCAGATTCTCAGACAGTGGTGGGTCCTAGCTCTGGCCAAATTCCAAATGTCTTTCTTTGGTCCCCATGAGGGTTTCTCTGTGTTTATCTTAGCAGGATCTGGGGCCAGTTCACCTCTCACATCTCCATCATCGCCAACTCCACCCTCTACATCAGGTTAGTAATGGAGCAGAGTGCTTCCCTCCTCTCCACGGACAGGAATGGGACTGCTTCTCTTCTTGCCTTGGCCCAGCCATTTCAGGGGTAGATGGGAGTGGCCTTCTCAAGAGAGACCAGTGGAGTGCAAATTAGCAGTGTCATTTGGGAGATGTTCAGGCTCGTATTTCACAGGAAGTAGACGGCTTTCAGGACCACTAGCCACCCTCTGGCTAAGACTTGCTCTCTTTGCTGAAAAGCCTCATGTAGGGCTCCTCAGATCAGAGCCTGTCTTGGTGCGTGCTCAGCTAAACAAAACAAATGTGTTGCTGCCTGCAAGCCTTGTCCTACCTGAGCTGTCTCCTCAGGGAGTCCATCCTTGATGTTGGTTTGGTCACAGAGCAAAGCTGGGAGGTGTCCGGGTGTGGGAAAGAACCACTGAATTTCTGGTAACTGTCAGCACTCTGCTCTGTGATGCATTTAATCATCTGAATGTTTTTATGTTGTTAGCTTTTGTTTCACCTTTTTGAGTTAAATCAGATACTGTATGTTTTTTGTTTTTTGGGGTTTTTTGCGTTGGAATCTCACTCCATTGCCCAGGCTGGAGTGTAGTGGCACGCTCATGGCCACCCCAGCGATGACCTGCTGGGCTCTAGTGATCTTTCTGCCTCAGCCTTCCAAGTAGCCGGAACTATAGGTGCACGCTACCATGCCCAGCTAATTTTTGATTTATTGTAAAGACAAGGTCTCGCCAAGTTGCCCAGCTGGTCTCGAACCTGCAGGCTCAGACAATCCACTCACCTCAGCCTCCCAAAGTGCTGGGATTACAGGCTGAGCCACGGAACCCAGCCTATACTGTAAGTTTTGACTGAAAAATATTAAAAGACTTTATCTTGGGGACTACTTGTAAAAATATTCTAATTCTTTGGAGGAGCCACATAATGCTATCTTCCCCTCTTTTCTTTTTCATCCCACTGGAGTGCAGTGGGATGATCATGGCTCACTGCAGCCTTGACCTCCTGGGCCCAGATGATCCTTCTGCCTCAGCCTCCCAAGTAGCTGGGACTACAGGCACGAGCCATAACACCTGGCTGATTTTTTTTGATTTTTTTGTAGAGACGAGGTCTCGCTATGTTGCCTAGGCTGGTCTCCAACTCCTGGCATCAAGCAGACCTCACATCTCAGCCTCCCTAAGTGCTAGGATTACAGGTGTGAGCCACTGCACCCAGCCATCTTTTCTTTTGAACTGAGATCTCTTTCCTAACCATTTTAGAAGCCCAGTAAAAACTTTCTGGGAGCCGGGCTTGGTGGCTCAGCCTGTAATCCTGTGCCTTGGGAGGCTGAGGTGAGTGGATTGCCTGAGCCCACGGGTTCGAGACCCGCCTGGGCAACTTGGTGAGACCTCATCTCTGCAATAAATCAAAAATTAGCCGGGCGTGGTAGCGCGTGCCTGTAATTCTGGCTACTTGGAAGGCTGAGGCGGAAGGATCGCTGGAACCCAGCAGGTCGAGGCTGCAGTGGCCAGGAGCCGCCACTGTACTCCAGTCTGGGCGACAGAGCGAGACTCCAACTCAAAAAACAAAACAAAAACAAAACCTTTTTGGAGCACCAGTATCTCCTTTTGCTTCTTAAATAAACCAGATGTCCTGGACGTCCAAGGAGCTGGTTCTGCCACTCAGAGCTTGGAAGGGTTCCTGCAGCTGTTTGAAGGGAGAGTCATTATCAGTGGGTTGATACTGTATTCACTAATACTTAAGGTGGTACCTGGGAGCTACCAAGAGCATTATTCAACTCCTCTCAAATACTTACAATTGACCTTCCTAAGAAAATGATAGGATGCAAATATAAGGGTACTAATTTGAATGACTGACTTCTGGCCAAGGGGTGTCTCCCCTTGCTGACTGAGGGTGGTTACTAGTGGCTTATTCCAGAATGTCCTGGGGCCAGGGCCTGTTTTAAGTAGCAAAGTACTTGGCTCATAGGATGAAACTCTTGTCCCTCTGACTTTGTCAGCAGATTTTACAAGAAAGCCCCCAACTACTGATCAAAGAGAATAGACTTCTCTGTCTTTTGTAGAGGTGTACTATTTAAACTAATCTGAAATTTCTGGTGAACCAAAAATCTATGCTGGGTATAGATTTAATACCACTTGGACATAACAAGGAAACTGAAGAAAAGTAGTCATGAGAATCCATTAACCCTCCTCTAACAAGTGGGGTGTCTGTTGAATGTACAGAGCACTTCAGTGTGTGCGGTAGGTGTTGCCCTGGGTAGGTATTGCCCTGGGCAGTTCTCCATCAGTTCTCATCCTTACATTCCTTGGGGAATTTAGAGTCTGTACAGACTTTGGGGGAAATCTGTGCTTAAATGGGAGCTGTCTAATACAGTAGTATGTTTGCATGAGATAAGGTAATTGTTTTTTAGAATGAAAAGAAAAATCTTTTGTGGAGTCATTGTTGGAAAAACACTGAGGCGAATGGAAGTGGTGGGAGGCATTACTGCAACTTTGCTGGTACCTACCCTGAAGGAGAGTCTTGAGGATTTAGAGGGAAACATATGTGAGGCCCCAAGCACAATGCCTGGCAGAGATGAGAGGTTCCCAGCAACTATTGGCTCCTTTTCATCTCCTTTAATAGTTTGTTGACGAAATCAACTCTGTCTGCACTCTGCCCTCTGCTGGTCATTTCTTATAATACAGCTCATAAAATTGATAACTAATATTTAGCATTTGCCTGGCAACCTAGCACTTTAGGCCCTAAATGGAGCATTCAAGGGAGTTTATTCACTCAGGAGGTATTCAGGGTGCATGTATTGAGAGCCTGTGGTTTGTTGGGGACTTTGCTTGTCCCTGAGTTACAAAAATGGACAGTCAAGGCCCAGTTGTCATGGAATCACAGTTCTAGCACCTCTCAGGAGCTCCAAAATGAGAGACACTAGGAAAAACAGACACACTCAAAAGCACTGTTTCATATTCTCTCACTCAACACAACAATCAGCACAAACGAAAAACTTCTGTAACCAAATGTGTATATGTGAGGGGCATTTCTGCCCACCGCCACGTGAACAGTCAGTTCTGTAGTAGATACCAGCTGGGTGTCCTCCAATTCAATTCCAATACTGTCTACCTGGAAGTAGTGTCAGATCCCACAGGTTGGGGCTCAGTCCTCAAAACTGCCCAAGCCTTCAGACACCAGAACTTCTGCCTGACTAGCTTCAAGAACTTCTTCTGCCTCAAGAACTTCTGCCTGACTAGCTTCAAGTTGGGGTTCCCATGACCCTTGCTTTGGGTTTAATTTGCTGGAGCAGCTCACAGAACTCAAGGAAACACCTATGTGTACCCTTTATCTTAATTTTATTTATTTATTTGAGTTGGAGTCTCACTTTGTTGCCCAGGCTGGAGTATGGTGGCATGCTCACAGCTACCACAGCCTTGACCTGCTGGGCTTAGGTGATCCTTCTGCCTCAGCCTCCCAATTAGCTGGGACTATAGGCACATGCCACCATGCCCGGATAATTTTTAAACTTTTTGTAAAGATGATATCTCGCCATGTTGCCCAGGCTGGTCTTGAACTCCTGGGCTTAGGCGATCCTCTTGCCTTGGCCTCCAGAGTACTGGGATTACAGGTGTGAGCCACTGCACCTGGCTTACATTTACCATTTATTATAGAGAATATTTCAGAGGATAATAAGGGGGGACCCCCAAAAAACTAGAATTACCTTTTTAGAGTGTAAGCCCTTTGTAGTACAGGCTTCCCCTGCTAGGTAAGTATTCTAGGAACCCATAGGCAAGTGTGTATCAGCTAGTGTTGTGAGAGGCTGAGTTTGGCTTCAGTGAAATTTTTTGTGGCAGACAGGTGACTAGTTCTTCTACCTGCCCACCATGCTGAGTGTTCAGCAAAAAGACACAACCCCTGTACCCCACCCTCCCTATTCACCTGATCTTGCCTGGAGCAACTTTTTTTATTTCCCTGTTGAAAAAAGTCAAAGGAAAATGTTTTGCTGGTATAGAAGAAGTGAGACCAAAAAAAATGGCAGGACTAAAAGGCATCAAAATTGACATGTTCAAAAACTGTTTTGAGCAGTGGAAAAAGCATCTCATATATTGCATCAAATGGAGAGTACTTTGAAGGTGACTGAAGTTTAACATGTAAGGATAAATACACAGTTTTTTATAAATAAATTCTATGTTCTTTTGAGTCCCCCTTTGGAGATGAACAGATGCATAGGGCGAGGTATAGGGAAGGGAGATGCAGAGCTTCCCTGCCTGCCCAGGCACACCCCGCTACAGGAACCATCACATGTTCTGCTCTCTGGAAGCTATCTAATCCCTGACCTCGTGGGCCTTTTATGGAGACTTCACTGCATAGGCATGATCGACAACTGTATAGAAATGTGATTGGATATAAAGGGAATGATCTAAACCTAGGAAGGCCTGTCCAGGTTCTTCTTGGCCTATCTGTGCAGCATTTCTTCCTTCAGGGTATGGGGCACATGTGGGACATGCTCAGTAAACCTTTGATTTGCAGAGGCTTACTTTGCCTTCAAGGCTTCTGTGGAATAAGAGCAGGACTCTGAACTAGGGATGGCAACTTCTGACTGGTTGACTCCTGCTTAAACTATTTCTCAGGACAGTGGGCTAGACTCCTCGTTGGGCTCATCTTTCTTATTGCCTCTCTGCACACTGCCCATCTTGCTGCTGGAATCATACTTATTCCAGTTTACATCTTTTAGGCCAAATGTATGTGGATTTTGTTTGTTTGTTTTTGAGACAGGGTCTCCCTCTGTTGCCCAGGCTGGAGTGCAGTGACATGATCATAGCTCACTGTAACTTTGAACTCCGGGGCTCAAGGGATCTTCCCAACTCAGCCTCCCTAGTGGCTAGGACTAAAGGCATGCATCACCATACTCGGCTACTTTTTAAAATTTTTTGTGGAGATGGGGGGGTTGGTGTCTCACTATATTGCCTAGGCTATCATGAACTCCTGACCTCAAGCAGTTGTCCCTTCTTGGCCTCCCAAAATGCTGGGATTATAGGTGTGAGCCACTGCTCCCAGCTGAAATTTGTATCTTTTAAAAAAAGCATGTTTATCTGGAAACAAAGTCAAGATAGTACCTTCCAGCTATATGATGAAATACAGTTTTCAGAAATGAAGGAAAAGGTTTTATTTTTGAGGGCTAGTATTATTTAAAAAGAATTCCTGCAGAAGGTAGCATCTCAATCATAATGTGGGAGCTCTTGAGAACTGCACCATGGGTTGGGGAACCTGAGCTTGAAGGTCACCACTTCCGGGCTCTGGAACCTTGGGCAAGGCCCATGATCTCCCCGTGCTTCTGATGTCCCATTTGTAACAAGGATAATGACTGCTTGCCTTGTTGGGTGATTGTAAGTTCAGTGAGCTCCATGTATACGGGGCATAGGACAGTACCTGACACTCTGTAAGCCCTCAATGTGCTGTTGGTAACTGAAATCTTGAATGAGTCACTTCCACATCTGGGTTTTGGTTATCTCCTGTGTAAAGGGCAAACAGGCAGAAATTAGAGGAGACTGTCTGTCTCACACACACCACAAACAAATTCCCTCACATCATTCTTCTGGGAGTAGACAGGCCTGTTGCCTTACTATCTTTTTTCTTTTTAATGAGTTTGGAAAAGAGTATTTTAAGAACGCTAAATAAGCAGGAGACCCCAAATTTATGTTATTTTAAAATAATCGTATTTAACATATTTTGAGTACATACTTTGTGCAAGGCACTATTTAAGTTATTTATAGTTATTGTTTTATTTACTCTTCCTGAATCCCTTCCTATCCAATGGGGGTGGACTCCAGCATAACTCCATTTTACAGATGAAGAAACTGGTGCTCTAGTCGGGTTAAGAGACTTTGACTAAGGTCACACAAGTTGGCAATGGTGGTGTTAGAGCTAGGATTCCAACTTGTTCTGCTTCTTTCATTACCCCCACTGATTTATTGAGTGCCTGCTTTCCTCAGGGTACACTGCAGGGCCTGTGCTGTTAAACACGGTTCTCAGCTGATGTGAAAGGAACCCTAAAGGTAGAGTGAGTAAATCTGGACTTGAGTCCTAGCTATACCACATGGCAGCTTGACCTTGGACAAGTACTTTCCATTCTTTGAAACTCTCTTTTAACAGAATTCCTACTCTTTAATAGGTAGATAACATACATGGCAATGTTATACGCAATAAAATACTATCAAGTATAACGTATGACTTCCTTACAATCAGATAATTCTAGTCTTTCTGGCTTGTAGTTTATATATTAAGCAGTACTTTTGAGGAGAGAGTACTGACAGTTTGTAGAAAATCTAGTCTGTAAGAATGGGTGGCGAGAAAAGGAAGTTTCAAATCTGAAGGACTGAAGGAGATATGGGGTGAGCTAAAAAAATCAACTCATAAAAGGCAGACTAATAGGAGAAAAGGGGTACAAATTTATTTAACGTGTGTACACAGGAGCCTTCAGAATGAGACTCAAAGATATGGGGAATCCTGTTCAATTTTATGCTTAGGTTCCACAAAGTATAGACAGCCATGAGAAATATGATTGGAGGAAGAGGGTATGATCCAACGCTAGTGTAGACTGAGTGGGGAAACTCAGCAAGGCCTGTCTGTCCAGATTTTTCTTGGCCTCTCTGAGCATGCACGCCTTCCTCCTGGGGGTGAGGCAGGATTCTCTCTGGAATGGGGGTCTTATGACCTATAGTCAAACAAGCTAGGTCAGATAATTTCTTTATAGCCAATTTTTACACAAGAAGAGAGGAAATTACAGTAATATTTTTAGGTTTTATGGCTGTCTTTGGGGATACTATGACCCACCTAGTATATCTATGGCTAGCCTCGGGAGAGAATTGGACTGAGAGGACAGCAGGAGAAGGTCAAAGACAAACTCTTGTTTCGGAGGCTGAGGTATTTGGGTATTGTTTTCTGAGCCCCAACAGAGGGAAAACAGAGCCTTTTGAACCTGAGAGTGACTGAGAGCTTAAATGGCCAGAAGGAGGGTTAAAAATTAATAAAGAAGATGGGTTTGGTGGCTCAGCCTTTTAATCCCGCGCCTTGGGAGGCTGAGGTGAGTGGATTGCCTGAGTCCGCGGGTTCAAGACCCGCCTGGGCAACTTGGTGAGACCTCATCTCTACAATAAATAAAAAAATTAGCTGGGTGTGGTAGCACGCGCCTGTAGTTCTAGCTACTTGGAAGGCTGAAGCGGAAGGATCACCGGAGCCCAGCAGGTTGAGGCTGCGGTGGCTGGGAGCGGCCACTGCACTCCAGTCTGGGCGACAGAGTGAGACCCCAACTCAAAAAAAAAAAAAAATTAATAAAGAGAGAAAAAAGACGTAATAAGGCACCAAAAAAGAGCTGAGTTTATTTAGAATGTTGGAGCTTCCAGAATTTGTCTAGCCAAATCAAATTCTGAAGCCCATTCCAGGTTCACAGTTGATGTCTGGTCATAAGAATTGCCTCTCCTTCCCATAAGCTATGCATACACAAAGCGGTGACCATCTTTGGGATGAACAGGTCTGCCATGCTCACTTGCAACCCTCCTCCCCCTCCCAGAAGTCCTCCCTGGAGTCCTCCCCTGGTGTGTTTGTGGCAGGGGGGACAGGTGTCCTTTGCATTGTTGTTTTTTCCAGAGCTGTCCCAGATGTGAGTGGTCAACCTGCCCAGCTCCACTCCACATAGGTCCTTGCCGCTCAGCTCCTCCTCAGGAGGCCGTGGGAGAGAATTCATTAGGAACTCTGGGACTCACTGAGAGAGCGTTATCCTTCCCATTTAACTGGGAATCGAGTTAAAGAGAAGTCAGTAAAAACATTTGCCTTGTTTTCTTTTTTTTTTTTTTTAATGATTTTATAGCCTTGAGTACATTTCACTGTCCAGTTTGGCCTCTAGACCACAGAGGCCTCAGGAGAGGGGGCGGTTCATGCACTCCTGCCTGGGAGACCACTAGCCCAAGAGCTCACCTTAGGCCTGCTCTTGCTCCTCACAACTTGAAAAAGACAAGTCTCTGTCTTAGACTATAGAAGACTTGCTTGGAAAAAAGTGTTGAGTTTTCATTTCTCTCCTCTCTCGCATAACTGTCCTTGTTTAATAATAGAAATAAGTACACACCTCATATCCATTCTGCTCTTCAGAGGAGGCATAACCTTCATGGCTCATCTGGAGCGTTGTGCTTGTAAATAAACAAAAATGGCACTGAACTGGCTCAAAAGAAGAAGAAAGTGAAGAAGAAAGCAACTCTTTGGTTACTCTATTAATATGTTTACCAGGTCGTCATGGGCCACAGTCTGTTTATCAGCCAGTGCATTTTGTGATTAATTTCAGTATGTCCTAGTTTTGCAGTGAGAATAATAATCATGTAATTCGGACTAATATTTTATTGTCTATTACTATTTGATTAAATAACACTAAAATCTGAATAATGACTTGTGTCCCTTTCTCTCTTTCTCTCTCTTTGCTGTTTTCAGTAGAGCATGCACCATTTTGAACGTGAATTTCGGTAAAGTAAACTATGCTGATTTCTCTCACTTTAAAGATGGTCTGTTTCTATATGTGAAATAGGACCCAAAACATCTCGATCACTGAAGTGATAAACAAGTGGGAAAGCGGATTTGAGACTGTTTCCTTATCCGAACATTTAAATGAAATACAGCATCTTTAAAAAGCACCCAGTGACTTCATCTGTATTCATTTCATTTTCGTGACCTTCAAAATCTTCATTTTTCACTCTTAGATTTTAGTTTTAAAATACAGCTCTAAAACTTGTAGATCGACTGCATGGCATTTTGATGTATTTTAATTTTGGAAACCATGACTCCCAAAGTCCTGTTGCTGCAGAAATGTTGGTTTCTAGTTACGCTGATGAAGAGGAAAGGGTGGTAGGCAGTTGAGGTATTGGTTATAGGGAGACAGCTTATTGACTGACGGGGAAAAACAGTTCTTTTGTAAGCATTTTTTCTTTTCTTATTTTAAAGAAGTGGGGTACAATTCAGGGTTAGGTACATAAGTGGCCATCATACAGGTAAAGTGTGGGTACCCTTATTGATGTTATGTGCTCCCCCTCCCCTGGCAGTGTCCCATTACTGCCAATTCCATAAGCATCCTTAATAATTCTTAAAAGGTGAAGGAGATTTCCAAGAACGGAGAGCTGCCTGCTTCCAGGGATCAGGGTGCCCTCCATTCTCTCCCAAGGGCAGTTGGCAGGCCGAATGTTGCTTCTGTATGGTCTGGTGGCCACTTGGCCTCCCCATCCGTGGGTGTGGACCCAAAGACCTGTCAATTGCCCATGCTAGCTGCTAACATTGTCCTGACATCCTTTCCACCTGGCTGTCGTGGATGACGTTCCTCCCTAGATATAACCTGAGCCCTCGCTGTAGCAGGCTGTTCCCTCTCCCAGGGCCTCTGCTGGATTGCCAGATTCCTGCTGTTTTGGTGGAGGTGATTTTGGGAAGGGTGGATTAAGTAGTTGGCTCTCAGGGTTTTTGTCTAAGAAAAAGTGAGATGGGAGAAAGCAGGACTGACAGGGTTATAATTGGAAGATAAGCTGTTCTGGAGTTTCCCCTATCCTGGGTGTGAATTGTTAGCCATCAGTCTAGCATGGGATCCTGTTCTTGTCTTGTCTGGGGATCAGGGTGTTGGAGGAGAGGCCGTTCACAATTAGGTGTGGAGGGAGCTCAGGCTTTAGGCAGTTCCATGGTTTGTCTCAGGCAAGATGGCCAACTTGCATTTGATCCTTGATCTCTCTGTCCTCCCCTCTCTCCACTGTTACCAGTATTGTAGCTTAAACCCAGCAGACCTTTAAAGGAATTTGCGTCAGCTGCCAATCCCACCCCCCCTCCCCTGACTGTTTTCCACTACTGCCAATCACTTTCTTATAGCATTATAATTGTTCAAGTTCCATTTATGAGTGAGAACATATGGAACTCAGTTCTTTGTTTCGGTGATAAATCACTGAGTATGATCGACTCCAAATCCATCCAAGTTGCTGCAAAGCCCATATATTTGTCCTTCTTTATGGCTGCATAATACTCCGTCAGTATATGTACCACATTTTTTTTATCCAGGAGGGAGGGGCATATCTCATCAACAAGGGTACCTGCATGATTAATGTTTATATACCTAACCCTGAATTGTATCCCACATCTCCATGATAAATAAATAAATTAATTTAAAAAATAAAATAAATTTTAAAAAGAAATTATAATAATAAATTTAACATATTAATATTTTGCTAAATGCAGATAAAACTTTTTGAAATATTAATATATTAGCAAAACATCATTTAGAGAAATAATTTTATTAAAAGAACTTGGAGCCGGGCTTGGTGGCTCAGCCTGTAATCCCATGCCTTTGGGAGGCTGAGGTGAGTGGGTTGCCTGAGCCCGCGGGTTCAAGACCCACCTGGGCATCTTGGCGAGACCTCATCTCTACAATAAATAAAAAAATTAGGTGGGCATAGTAGTGCGCGCCTATAATTCCAGCTACTTGGAAGGCTGAGGCGGAAAGATCGCCGGAGCCCAGCAGGTCGGGGCTGCGGTGGCCAGGAGCGGCCACTGCACTCAGTCTGGATGATAGAGTGAGACTCCAACTCAAAAACAAACAAAAAAAGGAACTTGGAAATTTGATAATAAGTATAATTTAATGAATAATTTTCTGGGTGAGTCATTTCTTTGCAATAAAAGTAATTTTTCTCTGTGAAAAAATAAATAAAGGAATTTGTGGACCATGGAAAAGGTAAAAAGAAAAAGTCAAAGACAATCAGTGGGGCTTGTGATCAGACGATGAGTCCCAGGACTGTGTTCCTGCCTCCTCCATTTCTGGCCTTTGGACTCTCATACTTCCTCTCTCCTTCCAGAGTGTTCTGAGCTGGCAAGTTGGGTTCGGGCCTTCCTTACCCTGATTGTACACACCAAGATCTACCATGGTTGTTGCAGGCCCAGTGAACAGGAGTGGCCCTCCCGGGACACCAAGCCCCTTGAGACACCTGGCTGCCTTGTGCACACTTGGAGATCTTGCTTTCTCAGCCTAGCAGCTTCTCTTGCGCACAGCCCTCACATCCAGTTGCTTTACAGGCATGGGTTGCCCTGGTGCACTTTGGACAGCATATTTATTTACATTACCTGCATTCTCAAAGAGATTTGTTTAGAGTGACAAGTTCAGCCTTTGCTTGCAAAGTCACGATCCATTTACTGAACTCCACCCCAACTTCCACTCTGTGGTAGTACATTTTCACTTGTAATTTTAACTCCCACTCTGTGGTAGTACATTTTCACTTTGGCCTGGTAATGAGACCAAAGTCAAGGGTTGGTTCTCTGAGACCAAGCAGTTTTGTTTTGTGCCAAAATGGCAGCCCATACATACCCCTGAGGCCTGGCTCTGGCCTCCCCAAATCCTGGCCTGTAGGGGTATCCACTCTCTGGATGGCCTGTTCTGTGCCTTTAGTAAAAACCCCCAAGTACTGCTGCAGCCCAGAATCTTCTTGTCCTTAACCCAGCAGTGATTCTTCTGCCAGGGTCAAAGCACAAAACTGGAAGGCAGCAACCCCAGAGTTCCTTCTGGTGCATACTGGGACCTGGAATGTCAAGTCCAGATTCCACTGCCCTTTTCTAGCCATTGGAGGGAGTACATGGGGGAAAGGCATTGGCACCCACTCACCCCCAGGTGGGCAGAGGCCACTCCTGGGTCTACTTGGCACTGCCGTCAAGGGACTCAGTCCAGAAAGGCTTCAGCAATGGTCTCCCATCCTGGTATTGCATTAGTCACTCCCCAAATCCTCTTCAGGGAAAAGCTCATGTCACACGCATATTCTCCCTGTTTTCTCATCCCAACAGCCTCTTCTGGTTTAAGGTTCTTTTTATCTTTATAAGCTGTGACATAAAGCCAGGAACATTTTCCCACAATACACCCTAGCATAGAATGTAATAGAGCTTTACTCATTAGTTGTTATTGTGTAGAACCAATGAAAATTACATTTTGTTCATTTGTCTGTATGTAATCTTTATTTGTATTGCTATATTATTGATAATTCCCAGATTGCAGAGCATGAGTATGTGTATTTGTGTGATTCTTTAATTTCAGCTGCCTTAGGTTTGAGTAAAAGACGTAAAGGAAGGTAAGTGCTTTTCTGTTGATTGCAAGACTTTAACCATTATCTGTCATACTTGGTGAAAAAGATGTACTTACTTATTTTATTAGTGATCCTGAGCCACTCATCCATACAAATTCAGGTAGTGATATACGTATCTTTACCTGTTATCACCATGGCTCAGTAGTGTTTAGAGGAAACCATCTAGCAGACTGTCTCCCTGGTGTAGAATGATGGAGGACAGAGATAGCAACAGACAGGTGGAGTCTCAGAGAGCTACAAGGTTCACAGGAGTTGGGGCAACTAACTGTGGCACAAGAAAGTGCTTTAAGGAAGGGCTTTTTCTGTATTCGGTGTTTGTCCTGAGAGAACAGTTCATTCATTGATTCAAAATATAAAATTCATGTTGCAAATGTTCATGTGCCTGGAAGCTGAGGGAAGTTTTAGACCTGTCTGGTTTCCCTCTCCTTGGCCATTGAAGTGTAGCAGGACATTTTAGTTTCTCTTGATGCTTCAACAAAGATGTACATTTAGTGTATATCCATTCTGCTTCTCAATTGGGCCAGTGGAAAGAATGGTACTTGAGAAAGACTCCTCCTAAGAGTACCGTTGCCAGAGAGCCCCCTCTGCTCCCTGCTTTTGCACTGCTAACAAATATTATTAGTATTTTCTATTTCTTTAATGCTACCTAATAGGAAGTGATTGAGACAGACTCCTCTGGAAAATACATATCCCAGCAGGCACTGGTTTTCCTGCTAAGGATCCTGATTTATTTGTCATTTTTTATGAAATCACATGCTTCAAATATTGTGTTGGAGCAGCTAAAGAACTGTTCATCCCTTCTGAGTAACTGACTTCACACAGCCTTACTCCATCATACAGATGTCTTTAATTGCTTCCTCAAAAGTTGACAGAGCTTCCGCGACCTGGTTAAAGTAGCTGATTGAGGGAACTCTTCCTTGGGGACTATTATGAAAATTTGGAAATGGGCCTCACCTATGCAGAGAATGTCACTGTGTATGGTTTCATGTAATCTGTAATATTTGTTCCCACAGTCTTACTCACATGACTATTGTTTGACTATTCCCCTCTGATGTTTCTAGCTTTTTTGTTTAGCATTTTAAAAAAACATACAGTACTGGGTATCTTGGTCCCTCTGAAGGAAACATTTGCAGTCTTATCAAAGTCCATTCTGCCCAGGACTGAGCAGTAGCATGTGTGCAGGTGACTGGAGAGGTGGATATTGACTGTGCCTTTTTCCTCCACAGGGATATCTGCATTACCTCCACCTCCTCCACCTCCACCTCCACCTCCACCACCAGCAGCTCCCTTGCCTCCTGCGAGCACAGAGGCTTCTGCCCAGCTCTCACCCCAGGCTGTGAATGGTGTGGGCCGAGGGGCCTTGCTCAGTTCCATTCAGAATTTCCAAAAAGGAACTCTGAGAAAAGCCCAAACCTGTGATCATAGTGCTCCGAAGATCGGCTAAAGCTTCCTGTTTACACTTAGAGGGAAAAGTTCTTTATTTTCCTACTCAGCCCTGCTCCCTCAAGTTCCCTCTTCCTGGATAAATAATTGCTGAGCCAGTACAGCCACATACAGTACTAATTTGCAGATGCTCACATAAGCTTTTCAAGAGGGGAATATTCGTTAAGTAGAATAAAGTTAGGCTGGCATTGCTGCCTTAAGAAATATTTTGCTCCTTTACCACTGTGAGGGAGTCCTGTCCATCCTCTGATGGGCATCTTTATTTGTGGCAGCAGCATATTGGAATCAATTATTTTCCCCATTTAAAGGAAATGGATAGAAAACGACGACAATATTCAGTCATCGCAGTGAATGTCCTTTGTTTTGCAGTCCCTTCTACCCTATCAGACACCTCCTAGAAACATTCCTCTCATAGTTCATTCTCTAAAGCATTTTCTGGTTCTTAGGTAATTCCCATGTTTGCTATCTTTATTTTATCTTACACAGTAACACTGTAGCCCAAAGTATAGCTATGTTGCTGCATCAGAGAGCAACCGAGTTCTTCATTTTCCCCTCAAATCAATATAGGGAAAGTTGGTAACATTCTCTTAAGTTCCAACAGGAGTACCACTGTGGTTACAGAACTTAGGGCTGCTAAAGCAACTGCCCTGGACCCGTAATTCTTTTTAGTTAGAATGTATTGAAACAGGCAAAAAAAGTTAACATCAGAAAAAGTTCTTGCCAATTAGAGGATCTTCTTAATCCTCAGCAATTAAGTTTGGGGTTGAGGGGGTCATTATTACAAGACAAATCTGGCATCTATAGAAATCAACTCTGATTTTTGAAAGGTTTATCGAAATACATCTTTTTATTGTTACTCATTTATTCAAAAGGTCCTTTATCCTATGATTTGCTTATACCTTTAAATAAATTGCACTTTAAAGGATTATAAATAATCCATTTAAAAATTCAGATACACACATCAGTGTTGGTTCCTATGCAGAGAATGTCATTGTGTATAGTTTCATGTAATCTGTGATAAATGTCAGCTGTATTTTTTATTAAAATAAACCATGTCAAAAAAAGCTTTGTCTGTAGCTTAACTAGATGTTTCAAATGAGAACTTTTTGTAGCACCTTTTGTAAACATAAAGAATAGATTCATAGTTTATATTCTGTGAATATAGTTTCCTTCCTACCTATCCTGTCTCTATTTTGTGTCTTATTTTCCCTCACAATAAGAGCTAACAATCCTGTCTAGTTACTTAAATTAGGTACCACCTATGTTTTCCACAACTAATTTAAAACCCATCTTTTCCATCTCGGCTTCAAGACGTCAGTATGACACAATATCTGCTTTTTGTCAATGGGAAAAATACCTGACATAAGCTTTCATTTTAAAGAGAACCCTATTAGAATTAGGCATCTGAAGAGTGTAGACAAGTTCCTGTTCCAAGCGTGATGTAACCCAGATGATTAACTTCTGACAGAGGTGTGAGGTGTGAGTCCTAGTAAAGTCAGATTTGCTATTTTGGATATAGTTTCAGATATTTGAATAAAAACAGACAGTGGTTTTGTACAGTATCAGCTTATCTTCCACCTGGCACTAATTTCTTTCTTTTTTTTTTTTTGTTTGAGTTGGAGTCTCACTCTGTTGCCCAGGGTGGAGGGCAGTGGCACACTGCTGGCCACTGCAACCTCGACCTGCTGGGCTCTAGCGATCCTTCCGCCTAAGCCTTCCAAGTAGATGGAACTATAGGCACATGCTACTACGCCCAGCTAATTTTTTGATTTATTGTAGAGATGAGGTCTCACCAAGTTGCCCAGGTGGGTCTCAAACCCGCGGGCTCAGGCAATCCACTCACTTCAGCCTCCCAAAGCGTGGGATTACAGGCTGAGCCACTGAGTCCAGTTGGCACTAATTTCTTAATAGGATTTCCACGTACATTTAATCTTAAAAGAACATAGAAATACAATTGGTCAGAGTTAGGAATTCCTTTATTCCTTATCAAAACAAAATAACAAAATAACAATAAATGTAGATTATATGCTTTTATACATATAAGTTATCTTGTTTGCATGTAGCTTTCATCAGGATTCTGCCACATTCACACTTTGTCCTTATAGTGAGAGTAAAATTTTACATTAATTGTATTCAAAGAACACCTGTAACAGACAAAGAAAGCATGGAGTCTAGGGCAGGAGAGTGGAGAGTTTTCCACACACAAACACACTGAAACTTATTCGCAGTATAAAAACACCTGTTTTGTTGCTTTAGAGATCATTTTCCTTTATGAATAGTAAGGTCTTGCAGTACAATCCAGATGAAGTGCCAGCAAGTGTTTCAAATAAGTTTCAATGACTTGATATTCAGGTCCAAACTAAATATTTAATGTTTTCTTTATTGCAAATATGATGTCTTTGACCTGAGGCACAGAATTGTCTTCTAGAATCTTTGCGTAAGGCATAGGGACATCAGCACCAGTGACACGAACAGCTGGAGCATCTAGGAAATTGAATGCAGGACCTAGGAGAAGGAAGGCTCAACTGAGAGAGAGGCAAGAAAAGCCAGCAGAGTGCTACCACCTTGGCGCAGAGGTGTGGCTGCCCAAGAAGAGAAAACATAAGGTAAAGGACGGTTAATTGCCTCTGGATTTTCTTTTTAAATATTTGCTCTAAGGAGACATGCCAGACTGGTAAGTTTAAAGTTCAAGTCATCCAACCACCCCTAGCTTTCGATATCTTTATCCAGTATATATTCAGGTATACGATATTTGCTATAGCTTGACTGTATTCTAGAGCCAGTTTCTTTAAAATACCTTCCATGATCCTGGCACAGATTTCAGCTCCTACTCCAAACTGTGGCCACCCTCCTTCCACGGTTACAAGATGATTTGTCTTCATGACACTGGCTTCTACGGTTTCTATGTCCATTGGTCTGATGGTACGCAAATTTATCACCTAAACAGATAAGAGGCTTTATAGAGCCACTGCATCACAAATAAAGCCTTTAGCCCCATACTACTACTACTACTACTACTACTACTACTACTACTACTACTACTTTTTCTGTTTCTTGTTAATCCTTGAGTCTGGGAAAATCCAATCTGCCTATGAATAGATACATGAATGTACAAAGTATAAAAGGAGAAACTGTAATTAAAAAATGTGTACCTCTGTTCACATTTATAGGATTTCCTGTCCAGTAATAGGATTTATTTATCTTCCTTTGCTTGAACTTCCCTTTCAACAAAGTAAATCATAGCTAACATCTGAGTGCCTACCGTACCAGGCACTACACCAAGTATAATTCTCACAACCATCATAAGATGGGACAGTATTTATATCATCCCCATTTTAAAGCTAATGAAACTGATATTCAGAGAACATAACTTGCCCATGTATAACTAGCAAGTGGCAGGTCCTTGATATGAGAGTTCAAATCATTGACTTCTGAGCTTCCAACTCCAGCGACCACACTGGATCCTAACTTGAGAAAGCAGGTAGTAGTCTAAAAGATTCAGAACCTAAGTGGTGAAAAGCTAAGTATTTGAAAAGCAAGCAGGTTCCCAGCTTTAAGCAGAGACAGAAATGAGTGACAAAGCGAGATTTTGACATCTAGTTATGCTGTTACAGAACTCAAACTCCTGGGTCTTAAATTTAGTGGGAGCCTTTCTGATTCTTTAAGAACAAGTGAATGTTCACTCACCTCACACTCAATTCCCTCTTTAGACAGCACTGTTGCAGCTTCTAAGCAGTGGCCCACTGGTCTCGAATGGGAAACCACAGTTATATGTGTCCCTGAAAGAGAGTGGCCACAGATCAGAGGTCAGGTTGAAACTAAAGATGTCGTACCACTCTGCAGCCAGCTGTGGCTCTTGTTCTTTACAAAGTCTTCAACTAACTTCACTCAGATGAGCAAAGGAGCATGGCAGCCTTTCTAGAAACAACGCAAACCCACTGGACTCAGATCTAAGAAAAGCACAACTGAATGAGAAATCAGGGCATTCATTCTACATTCTTGAGTTCATCCTATGATTTTTCAAAGTAAATGGCAATGAATTCTAGATTAAATAGGACCTACACAGAGGTGCTGTTTAAAAAAAAATGTTTAAACATATTCTAAGTTCCCTTACCTTGCCTTTCTATTTTGGCTTTTCCAATAGGAATTAGAAAATCTTTTGATTGAGCTTCCGCAGGAAATTCAAAAGGAACTCCATACATCAATTCATTCTCTAGCATCACCACTGCAAAATAGTATAAATCTTTAAACAAAAGTAACTTAATTACATCCAGAATGACTAAAAATGTATACACAGCAGTATCATTTATCTCGTGAAAAGTTTCACGGGGCTGATTAGAAAGCCTTGTTTCAACCATATTCTGTAGCCTTGTGGATAGTCTAGGTACTTACATTTAGAGTCTGATCAATAAAATTTTATCTATTGAGGTTAAACCTGTGTTATGGGTGTGAAGTAAATGTCTCCTTTACCTAAATGGCCCCCTTAGGTCAAAAATAAGAAAAACAACCACATTCTTTACTGTCTTTACTATATCTATAAGTCATTAACATTTTATATGTCTCAACATAACTAGAAGCCTTTAATGGTTCCTTCAATGCAAAGATTTCATTTTAGTTTTTTAATCTTTTAAAAGAGACTGAAGAGTCACTGTGCTGACCTGGATTGTTATCCCGAATGGCTGATTTAATAAGTCCTTTTGCATCCTCTGAACTCCAGGGGCTGACCACCTTTAAGCCTGGGCAGTGCCCATACCATGCAGCAAAGCACTGTGAATGCTGGGCAGCTACACCTGCTGAGGCACCATTGGGCCCCCTGAAGACTATGGGCACAGGTTGAAGGCCCCCTGACATGTAGTAGGTCTTGGCGGCTGAGTTTATAACCTGGTCAATGGCTTGCATAGAGAAATTGAAGGTCATAAATTCACAAATGGGCCGTAATCCAGCCTGTCAAATAAAAACATGGATGTTAAAGAACTAGAAACAGCAAAGAAGGCCAGGCTCAGTGGCTCAGCCTGTAATTCCAGCACTTTGGGAGGCTGAAGCAAGTGGACTGCCTGAGCCCGCGGGTCCGAGACCCACTCGGACAACTTGGCGAGACCTCATCTCTACAATAAATCAAAAATTAGCCAGGTATGGTAGCGTGTGCCTGTAGTTCCAGCTACTTGGAAGGCTGAGGCGGAAGGATC